ACGCAACCAGCAAGATATGCTGCCTGGAGCACGTATCCGCCCGTGTACGGGATCGACACCAATTCTTCAAGCCTGCGCACTACTACTCCGTCCCTGGCGGCGCATCGAGTACCACCATCAGCCACGTCATCGACACCAACGGATATAAGAAGAAGCGCTCGGTCGGCACCGACCAGTGGGCACGACAGAGGCGCCGAGAGCATGATTCTCAGGAACCCCTTCTTGCTTGTTATTCAGGTGAGAGACTACCGTCCGGAGCTTGAATATCGTGGTGATGATGTATGCCTAGTGCTTCTGCTGTGCCCACGGCCGCTACTACTTGTTCTTTCTGCAGTGTATGACTGTTTTGTAGACCTGCTACCTCATTGTGGGGACGTTGAGTCGAACCCTGGCCCCACAGAAGCTATGTTTCAGAAGATTTTAGATGAAATTCGTCTACTCAAAGAAAGTTCAGGTACCGCCACACAACGCTTGAGTGAAACTTGTGATAAGCTCTCAGCAATTGAGAGAAAGCTAGATGAACTATCTGGCACCGTAACAAGTTACACCACTAAAGTAGACAAACTACAACAACAAGTGGACAGCCTCGTTTATAAAATCGACGACTTGGAAAACCGCAGTCGGAGGGGTAATTTGATAGTGTACGGTATCAAAGAGATGAAGGATGAAAAGGTGGAGTTGCTAGAGCAGATAGTATCGAGCAACATTCTTGGTGAAATACTAAATGTGAAGAACGTCGGAATAGAATGTATTCACAGGATAGGTAGAAAAAAGGAAAAGAAATGTAGACCAGTAATTTTCAAGCTGGTGAACGGTAGAGACAAGGCGAGGATACTAAAAAACTGTAAAAACTTGAAAGACACGGAATATGGCATATCAGAAGACTTTTCGTCTCGCGTCCGGGCTGTCCGGAAAAAACTTTGGGATAGCACTGCTGAACTAAGAAAGAAGGGGATAAAAGTGACGCAGTCGTTCGACAAGATCAAAGTCGATGGTAAGCTTTTTGTGTGGGACGACACTCTTGGAGCGAGAGTCCCTTTCGCTCCGCAGTGACGATTGCCACCAAACCACGACCGAGCTGATAGCAAGGGAAAGAGCGACTCTGATGTGCCTTCGCTCCCGAATTGCAAACCCTTTTCTGTTTTGAATATAAATGCACGAAGTATTTTAAACAAGTCTGATGATCTGGAAAGCGTTCTCACCGTATACGATCCCGACGTCACGGCTGTAACAGAAACGTGGCTAAGTGACGAAATTCCAGACTCGGTAGCGATACCGAGCTCCCACGAAATCTATCGCTGTGACCGGGCTTCAAAAGGTGGGGGTGTGGCACTAATAATAAAAAAAGGCCTGGACTATACCCCCCTTCCCCAACACAAAAACATTGAAATGGCTTGCATTGTTCTGCACCATCCGCAACTCAACATCTTTATCGGTGTATTTTACAGACCACCAAATTCCAACATTACAGTACTTGAAGCATTTGCAGATTATGTAGGCGTGTATGCCAAGCGCTACACGCATATGGTACTCTGCGGTGATTTTAATCTGCCCCGAATTGACTGGGATTTGATGCGTGCCGTTCCTACCTGCGATCATTCCGAACTACTGCTTGATGTTGTTCTTTCTTGTAAATTAGGCCAAATTATGCATGAACCTACTCGTGTTTCGACAAACTCAAGGTCACTACTTGACCTTGTCTTTCTTTCTGAATCCGTTCAACGGCTCGGTTTTGATGTCAATGTTCTGCCCGGGTTTGCAGATCACGAAATAGTACAGTTTAAAAGTCATATGTTGCCCTCAACTTCGCGGGCAATCATCAAGCCATTTAGAGATTTTAACAGTGCTGATAATGAAAGTATTTTGGACTTCCTCGAACTAGATTTCGACACCTTTAAGAGCAAATACAATAACGGGTATCTCGACGTAAACGGATTATGGTTGCACTTCAAGACGGCCGTGCATACTTGTATTAACAAATATGTCCCACAAAAACAAAGAAAGATTAACCGCCAAAGCCCGTGGATTACGCGTTACATAATTCACTTAAAACGTCGTGTTAAGCGTCTCTCCCGAGCGCCCAAAACGCCTAACGTGTTACCTTCCCTAAGGGCTGACCTACGGAAAAAAATCAAAGAATCAAAGTATCACTTTTTTAATGTTAAGATGCACGGCTTTCTTGTCACCAACCCTAAGAAGTTCCGTACTCACATCACCCAAAAGAAAGACCCAGTCGGCAAAATTAAAATAAACGACAGGGAAGTGTCCGATGCCTGCTCGATAGCAAGGGCTTTTAATGCTTTTTTCTCGTTTGTATTTGTACGTGCAACCCAGTGCTGCACTAATTTCAATTTTCCTGGCTTTGACATTCCCGATATAACTATTACCGAGCCGGGAATATTTTCGGCTTTGCTCAACCTTGACCCTAAAAAGTCCGCAGGTCCCGACAGAATACCAAATGCATTCCTTTACCGGTATGCGGAGTGGTGCTCAAAATACCTTTACATTATATTTAACGAAAGTCTACTAAGCGGTGTGGTTCCAGACGATTGGAAAACTGCAAAAGTTACTCCTGTGCATAAATCCGGCGATGAACTTTCTGTAAAAAACTACCGCCCCATATCCCTTTTGTGTACAGCCAGTAAAGTTTTGGAGCACTTTATATTTAAACACCTAGTAACGTATCTTGAGAGCAACATGTTTTTTACGAGCAATCAACATGGTTTTCGGCGTGGATTTTCCACGGTTACACAACTAATAGACACGACTAACAACATCTCAAAAGTTTTAGATAAGGGGGGGCAAATTGACGCTATATTCTTGGATTTCGAAAAAGCTTTCGATCGAGTACCCCATAGCAACCTGATGTTAAAAATTCGAAACTTGGTCAAAAATGAGAAAATAACTCAGTGGTTGGACTCCTACTTATCAAGCCGGTATCAGTACGTTCAGATAGGTGACTCTGCCTCTCACTTGTCATCAGTTGGTTTCTGGAGTCCCACAGGGCTCCGTCTTAGGTCCGTTGCTTTTCATTATCTATTTAAACGAGTTACAGTTCGACTGTCCGGTGCGTTTCCGTTTCTTTGCCGATGACTGCGTTGTTTATCTCCTATACTTAACAGCTGTTAGTAATTGGTGTGCCGATTGGAACATGAGCCTCAACACAACAAAGTGCCGCCAAATGACAATAACGCGCAAAAAGTTTCCATTTCAATATGCTTATCAAATTAACAATGTTGAATTAGAGGTTGTTAACGAGTTCAAATATTTGGGTGTAACCATGACATCAAACCTCACCTGGAACAAACACATACAAAATATTACATCATCAGCACTGCGCAGACTTTGGCTTCTAAGACACCGACTTCAGCACTGTACAAGCAGAACGAAGACCGTTGCGTACACCACGCTGGTCCGCCCCTTGCTCGAATATGCAGACGTTGTTTGGGACCCACACACAAAGACGGATTCAGCGATGCTCGAACGAGTACAAAAGAAAGCGCTGCGATTTATTCACAATGCATACAGCAGGCGAGTATCCGTGACAGAACTGCGCAGGCGTTCTGACCTACCAACACTAGAGTCCCGCCGTAAATTACATCGACTTAAAATATTACACAGCATAGTCAATGGTTATTCAAAGCTTGACTTCAATACTTGTCTCGAATTCGACATGTCAGGCTCCACCCGGAACAAGCACAACAAAACAATCCTAATGCCTTTCACGAGAACAAACGCTCACCGTCTATCCTTTTTCCCGAGAACGATAGCAGAATGGAACACTTTGCCACGCGACGTTACTAACTTAACTAATCAAAATGCTTTTTCAACGGCTATTCAAAATTGTGTATGATTGGAAGTGCTGGTCTTGTTCCCCTGTTCTATTGAACTAACGTATTTCACGTGTTATCTTGCTATCATGCCACAACGCACACTGCTTGTCTTTTTTTTGTTTGTTTGTGCAATATTTTTTATCTTTACATGGCAACATCCGATTAATTTTTTTTTTCACGCTTCCTGGTCAATGCGCGTAGTGTACTTTGTGTGTTTTGCATTAGACTAGCATTGCCGGTTTTATTGTATATTCATGTAGCTATTTGTAACGAGAATTACTGCTGCTTTGCGAATCGTGGGCCGTATTACTGATTGCGTGCGCTTGTGTGTCGTGACAATCTGTAAGCTTACTGCATTATTGCTTCCCTGTGTACCGCGGACCGTGTTACTGGTCGCGTGTAAACTTTGTGTTCAAACTCTGCACTGTACCACTCCTGCCCTGGCTGCCAAAGGGTGGCTGGCAGTATTGAATAAATAAATAAATAAATAAATAAATAAATAAATAAAATAAATAAAAAATTTTGATGGCCCCTGCTTCTTTATGTGTTTTTGATGTTAAAGCTTTAGTTATTGTGCAATCATCTTTCTCGGTATGTTTTTAATGAAAGTGCCTTGTGGTGCTGTAATCTGTACTTTATCTATTGCTTTTTTGAGCTACGAAAGTGACTTGGCATGCAGCCTTGATGTTGTGTTTCTAATGAGATCTTGGCACTTCTGCTATCAGGTGGAAGGCTGACGAATATTATTGCCCTAGCTAGTCGCTGTTGTAAAAATGTTTTGATGTCTGCTCTAGAAACCTCAATTTATGTTGAGTGCATATCCTGTTTGCCTCTTGTCTATGTCTTCGTTTCATAGCGCTCGTCTGTTTTGCATCCTAGATGTTACTCAGCGAGTGGCTTAGGTCAAGATGTCATGAAGAAACATGAGGACAAAAGTGTGCTCGACAGCTCATTTATATATATATATATATATATATAACGCCTGTGAAAGAAAGGCCGTTCCAGGCATGCTGCCCTTTGAATGAGCAGCAATAGCTTACTCCCCCACGAGTCATCTTGTACCAATACCGAAAATAACTAAATATAGGACCATGGTTGTTTAATTGGTTTTTGATGTAAGTCGAACTTTGCTTTCCTCAGTGACTTTGGCTTCATTGTCATGTGCAGGAGGCTACTTCGATGGTCCTTGGGTGGACCTGCAGGTGGCAAGCGGGAAGAGCTGTTTCGGCGGGACTACCTTGCATCGTACAATGTGTTGGCTGTCTCTCCGAGCCGCAGTTATTTTGCCCTTGGAGGAATCAAAGGGCACGTGGCCATCATCCGGTGTGGTATGCAATGACATTTGTATCATAACATCTGCCTTTACTTTAGGTAGTGTCATGATTTGACTCCTTGCAAAAGTTACGGCGTTTCGGTGGGAGTAAAAAGCACCTATATTTAGGCGCACATCAAAGAGCTCTATTGATCCTAACTATAGCACTACTCATCGTTTTTTGGTTCTGGCTCCATTGCATTTGGGGGTGTCACACCTGTGGATCAGTAATTGAAACTCTGGTTTGGTTCAATGTGTTTTTCCAGTATCTTTAATCCACTTTTCTGCTCCATTGTCTTGCCTCTTCAGTTCAAGGTAGCCCAGATAGTACCCAAAAAGACTATCAGCTTCCCTTCGAGGTTGTTGAGCTTGGCTTCTTGAAAGTTAGGTCGTGTCACTATTGCAGAAAATGTGCTTGGTATGACAGACACATCAGCGCCGCTATCACCATTGAACTTCAGCAGTGACTATTTCACTTCAACATCAGCGCACTTGGCCTGAGGTAGGTCGACTGATCCAACCATGCCTAGTCCTATAGCTGACATCAAGTAATGGCGCACTGATGCAAAGTGACTCTTCCCTTGGCAGTTGTAGAGAGCTGTTCGGGCCGGACATTCGTTTCGAGTAACAATCTCAACCGCAAAAGTAACGGTCGCCTTTTGAGACTGAAGAAGACGTTTTATCTTTTAGGGAAGACCTTGGTTGCAGACGATTCTATTTCACTTAAGTTGCGTCCACAGAGATGGCTGAAGACACGGCACTCGCAATGGTGAATTCGCGCTCAGTACACTTCTTCTCGGTGTCCACTTATTGACATGCTTGGATCAAAACTTCTTCGAGATGGAGCTTTGAAATTCTGTGCAGTTTGTCAGAGAGGTTGCTGTCGAGCAAGCGCATGACAAAATGGCCACATACTAGCCGCTCCTCAACAAAACCGACTCGCCGGGTTTCCATACATGAAAGTAAGATTTAGCCTTTTTGTACAGCTTGTTCACCAGATGTATGAAGTGACGGTTCAACTTGCCGGTAATTTGCTTGAAATCAGCCATATCAGCCTCTGAATCTTGCAGCAAGCCCGGAATTCCTCTATCCTGTGGACCCATGGTTACAGTAATAGATAGACACGCACTTTTTCGTTGGCAGCATACAAGCCTGGAGCGTAAAGGTAGTCTTCAAACTGGATGAGTCAATGCTTCCACTGTGCTGAATTGCTGAAATCAAAAGGCGACTTTAGTCTGAAACTTGCTGATGGAAATTCAGAAGCCGGCTTATTTGCCAATGCGATTTGCAAAGTACCATCCGTCTTCCTGTCACTCTTCTTTATGCCATGCCCAGATGGGTGCTTTCATCGTGTCGGCGACTGTTATCCACAGCACTTACCTGCTGGCACCCCTTCTTCCACTGTTCTGATAGAAGCAAGATCACTTCTGACACCATGTAGTAATGTACAGCTGAGTTTCTGGGCCGGCAAATGCGCAGTCACTTTATTTCTGCATACTTTTATACAAAGCAAGGATATCAACATTTTAGAGAGATAACATAGATAAGTTATTAGTGATGTCTGTATGGTTAGTGATGCCCTCTACAAATGCACTTTACACTGCAACAGCCACTTTGACGGACCCCTGACAGTGAAAGTATTGTTTGAAACTTATTTTGTGTGTAATTTATAGCTTTGTATCTAATTGTGCCGAATTTGAATCCTAATTGCTTCAACGCATTATATAAATAACACTAGCATCGTTAATTCAGAACGATCTTGCATCGATTCAAAACACCGACCTGAATGCCATAAAAGCTAGTTAGACACAACAGTAATGATATCTAACTGACAATTATGCCAAGAAAAGTATAGAGATGTTGTTAGAAATAATTGTAATGTAAATGTGAAGAAAAAGAAGTGGACGAAAAGATAACTTGCTGTGGGCAGAGACCGAACCTGCGACCTTCGAATAGCGCGTTCGATGCTTTACAGATTGAGCTACCACGGCCGCTGACCCTCCGTACTCTTTATAGGGTATGTATGTACATTAAACATGGGAGTGTAAGTCAGTGCCGCCAGTAGTCATGACGGCAACTGTGGAATAATCTTTCTGCCTGTACGGTGTGACGTAGCACGTGAATTTATTACGGGCTGGCAGCTAGTGTCCCACAGCGGGGTAATGCCTGAGACTACGTACACTCAAGCTTCGGTGGCACTGAACGTGCTGTTTTCAAATAGGTGGACTCACATGCGGAGAATAATGAAATGATGTGGGGGTCTCAAGCGTGTCCCCTGCAGAAAAAGGAATAGCCTTCAAGGCGCAAGCAGCCAAAACTATCTTGAGAGTAGCCCGACAAGAAAGCAATAGGGGTGACGAACAATAGTTCTTGCCGGGTTCCAGTCGGGATATTGTGCGTGCCCCAAAAAGGTTCTCTGACATTGACAATACTTGCTCGTCCTCTGCAACTTCACGAAGGGGCCCCTGTCTGCGTCAAACCACAAAAAAATGATGATTGGACCTGAGTGCTAAAATAGCGTGCAGCCTTAATTCAAAACCTGACTAAAATATACAGGCAATGCTCGCCACTAATACTAATCGGTTGGAAGTGGCCATGCATGGAGAGCTATCAAACAACACAAGCATCTAAACTTTCCAAATTCGGTGTTGGGGTCGTTTTAGGTGGGGAAGGGGATGGAGGGCAAAATCGACTGCAAATGTGATTTTTTAATTTTGATTGCATGACATTTGAGCATTCTTGACAAGTGTTTCCATGAAGTGGCACATTTTTATGTGCAACAGAAAGCGTTTAAAAATGGAGCCTCGTGATCGGCTGACACGAGTTCAGCGATCGCGTTGTAGCCTCTGTTTTGTCGTGAATGTAAGAACATGCAATTACATTTATGTACATATTCTTTTAGAATCATAGTATATCTAGCTTAATCAACTATAAAAATAGTTCAGTTCTGGGCCCAATAGGGTCGTGATAGTTGCTGAAGTTTTAATGCAAATGTTTTCTTACATCCTCGTTTCCGCTGTTAGCATACGCACATTGTGCCCGTGCATTCTGCAATTCTTGCCATTTTGGGCAACTCACAGCTGTGGTTTGTTTCACAGATGTACTGAGGATGCATGAATGCCTTGATGTTCAGCGAAATTGGGGATGAAGTCAAAATTTTGGGGAAGCATTACCTTCAAGTGCACAGTCAACACATTGAGACGTCGTTAGTGAGTGCGAGTGCTGCCAAGTTTGGAAGTGCTCCGCGAGATTAAGTGTTTCATTACACAGCTGCAAACTAACTTGAGTATCGCATGATAGACATTTCGTGGTGAATGTTATTCATAATGATGAAGAGTAGGAGCAGGAGCATGTTATTCTGACTTGGCGGCAATCAAACTTTAAATGGTGTTTTTTTCCAAAGCACTACTTTTTGCAAGAAAAAGAGCATTTTTTTCTGTAATCACCGAAGCTATCAAGTAAAATTGTTTTTTACCCGTTTCTTACTAATATGCACATTTTCTTAAGCAAAATAGGGGTATAGTGGCAAGAACTTTGCGTTTTACAAAAGCTTTTCGTGAAGAAAAAAACCTTAAATTTTGAGTCATAAAATATCAAATTTTTTCACTAAGGAATGCTCATGCTTACAATTATTGTTTTGCTCTAAAGGGACAGTGTAGGCTCATTTACCAAAATAATGAATTTATACGTTTTTACAAGCAAAAACTTTTTCTTCAATGTTCACTCAAGAATTTTATTTATTTATTCAGATACCTACAGCGCCAAGGGGCATTATTGTAGGGGGAAAAAAATAATACATTACAAGTGGTGTACAACTTCAAGAGTTGCCCTGCCGCGGTGGTCTAATGGCTAAGGTACTCGGCTGCTGACCCGCAGGTCGTGGGATCGAATCCTGGCTGCGGCGGCTGCATTTCCGATGGAGGCGGAAATGTTGTTGGCCTGTGTGTTCAGATGTGGGTGCATGTTAAAGTACCCCAGGTGGTCAAAATTTCCGGAGCCCTCCACTACGGCGTCTCTCATAATCATATGGTGGTTTTGAGAATTTAAACCCCACATATCAATCAACTGCAAGAATTAACATAACAAGATCAGCAATGTGTTAAAATTACTGATGACGAGACACATGTACGTTCCGAACAAATCACTCGAAAAATATATCGCGTCAAACTTAGAACAGTACATTATTACCAAACTACAAAAAAGTAAGGATTAAAAAAAAAACATTTGGATAGAATGCCGTACAAAGGTGACGCGATACCTAGTGGAGCAAAATTTCAGCAACGACACTATCAAATTACCTGATTGGCGACAAGATAACTTCCTCTGGTAGACTATTCCAAAAATGGCATCTTCTTGGAAAAAAGGAGTGCTTATATATGCTAATGCGACAACTATATTTTTTCACCTTCAGAGAATGATCACAACGGGCTCACCAGTATGTAGGATCGAGAATATATGTTTCCTTCCTAATGCCTGTTGCTCCAATAAAAATTCTGTGAAAGAGCTTTAGGCCTATGTATTTTCGTCCATCTTGAAAAGTCGGCCATCCAAAATTGACCCTTTATGACAGAGGAGCTTATTGAAAAGTGATGGTTCGAGGAGACAAACTGTACTACATGCTTCTGAGTGCGTTCCAATTCGGTAATGCAAGTCTTTGTGCCTGGGTCCCATGCGGAGCATCCGTATTCTAAAATAGTGCGCACGTTTGAATAAGTAAAGAGTTTCTTTCAACCTAGGAGAAGCTTTCTTGAAGTTTCACTTTTAAGAAGTTGAGAACACGGCCAGCCTTGGCTGATACATAGTTAATGTTGTCATTTCATGAATCATTCTTATACAAAACACCTAAGTATTTGTAATTTGATACAATTGACAGGTTTTCACCGTCACGACAATACATACCATCAAACATGTATTAGAATAATTTAAAAAAATTTTAATGGCTTAGAGTTTTTTTACTAAACTTATCAAAACATTTAGAAAAGTGTAGTAGAACTGAAAGGCAAACGAATTGGAATT